TTTACTCTTCGATTTTTCGAATTTAGTATCGCGGTCGTGGTCGCGGATAGGTCGCGAGTAGGTCCCGAAACGAACGTTTATATAGGTGTTGCTCGAGCACGCACATGCGAACGGGCAACGATCACTATGATCGATGGTCGTCCATGTGCAATTGAATCAGCTTTCGCGATTTTCTTTATAAGTTTTTTTGGTTTTGGCGATTAGAAAGACTCGAGCTAGATAAGTAAGTTTCAGCGGGCATTGCGCTCGAAGAAAAGAAGAGGCTAAAGGCCGAAGAGGCCCGGCAAACTGCCACGAAGAGGGTCACAACAAATGGCTTCTCATCTTCTGGATCATTTAAATGATTCCAGAGCATGGGAAGTCATTCTCGTTACTACTTTGTCGCTATGCTCTTTTAATATTTGTAATTGTATTTTTTTTTTCTTCTCCATCATCGTTCATCTTCGTTTTGGGCAAATCGCGGTTTTTTTTTGGTTAGTGTTGCGAGAAATCGATTACGGGTTGAATTAGAATTGCAAAAAAAATGATAATCGCGTTTGTTTTAGAGTTGTGAATCACGATACCGCGATTGTGAATTTTTAAAGTTGCCTTAGATTTATACATAATAAAATTTATCTTGCTTCCTATTGTTTTGAATTAAATTATAGAGTCACTGCTTTTAATTAATTTTAGAGTGTCAGAGTGAAGTAGCTTTTCGTACAGTTTTGTATTGTTAATAATAATTTCCATTGAATTTAGCTTTGGAGTTAGTGTTGCGATAACGATCGCGTTTCTTGATGTAGCGTTGCGTTTACAAAATGCCCAAATTATTCCACTGAATTCGTGGAAGGCTGTTCCTGCTTCTGGATCATCTGATGCAGTACAGAAGTAGTCATTCATCAGCAATGCCTCCAGCATGGTTGCACTGGACGCGTCGCAATTAGTGTTGCGCATTTTTAAACACGAGTGCATAGATTAATAACGTCGCGTACTTATTTTCGGGAGTTTTAAACATGACGAAGCACTCTTCGCGTTGGATTTTGAAAATTCCCTATTTCACAATTAGTGCTAGTGAATTAGTGTTGCGGAACAAGATATTCCGATTTGTAACATAGATAATTGTACAGTAACCCTTCTGGTTATTCATTTACTTTTTTTTTTTTTTTCAAATGTCGCGACTGTTTCAGTGGTGTGGAATTTTTGTGTCAAGTTTTTTTAAAACTACTAATCCAACAAATAAGTTTGTTGCAGATTTATCAACTTTCAAATGCATGGACGAAAGATGGAATAACATGGACTATGGAGTTTAGAGGGAATAATTCCTGGGTCCTGTCTAACGGTAATTAAATGTATCTTGTTAAATTTATTTCACAAATCTTTTTGACATCAACAAAAGGAGATTGCACGTAGAATACACTGAATCTAGGAAATTCTATGAAATATCCAAAATAGAATGCTCGTTACAAAAGTTAATGACTGAAGTAATACGAGATGATTGGCTGCGACCTAGGTGTTTGTGTAAATCCATTGTGTGTACATATCCATTAGATGAATGAAAAATAAATAATATATAGTTTTGATATCTGGATAACTAATTTGTAAGCGTATGGAAAATATTTTATACGAATTTGTATATTTTTCGTATAAAAATATTTTAGAAAGTTTAGAATTTCTTCTACAATGGTTATATCTGTAAATAAGAGGGTTGTTCTTTCTTCTTCTCTTTAATTTCTCGCGTATTATAAAATTTATTTAAGCTGACGAGTTCTTTAATATTTTATTGATAACTTTAGAATTTTAATTTACTATATGAAAAGAAGACATCGTAAGAAAGATTTCAGTTAGTCACTAGCGTCACATTTCGGCATTGAAAATTTGACAGCAGTGTAATGGATTTCAAAAACCTTGTTTCTGGCGCATTTGCTATTTGATCAAATTCGATCGTTTTGCATGATGTAGTTCTCCAATTCACCGTTGTTTAAGTATAGAGTGCGTTGAAAAACCACTGATTTTTTAGTATGTCGGTATTTCAGAGAATGAGCACAAACGAGATGCACACATGAATTTATATACATACCTCGCCTGTGGCATGAGATAGGAAATCCCATAGGATGCAACGTCTACTCATGTATCTCGTCTATGACCAAGGAGTGCTTTACTTCTCTAACAATTGTATAGATGGTAGTACACGCGGCGCTAACATTTGAATGATTATAATTTCATTTTATTAAAAAAAAAAATTCTAGATTTCTTAAGCAATTTCTTTCACAATACAAAGTGTCGGTATTATTTTTCGAAAATTACAAGCAGTACCGTTGTATAAAACAATATTCTGCAATTCTGCAGTTCTGTTGTATAAAAACAATATTTGGAAAATATGAATTTCGCGAATAATGCGATAGATTCGCTTCAGACTTTAAAAAAATAAAATAGTCTTCTCCTCCTGACTTCTGACCATAATGTTTCGCACAGGGGCCAATAAGTGTTTTTCACTTGTTCGTTATCATTTTCTTTATTACGCTTCGATCAGCAAATTCATCAGTGTAAAAGAGTGCGTTATATTGAAAATATAGATGTAGCCTAACATTTCTTATCTCGATTTGAGAAAATGGCAAAGCAACAAAAAGATCCTTCGTTCTTCACAAAAATTTTATTTTCCGCACATTTCTCGCGTTCCCTTTACAACTTTCGCTACTTCTTGGATTTCTTTCTTTTTTTTTTTCTTCTCCTTCTTCTTCTTTTTATACAATTTACAAAAGATTCTCTGTCTTTCATTTATCATCCTCTCACGCACACCGGCAAAAATTCGAAACCTCGTACACGGAGACATCAATGAACGAATGTGACGAAACGAGTCGACTAACGACGACAATGGCGAGGTTTATTTTGAACGATGACAATAATAATAAGAATAATTTATCATATTAAGTCGGTAATAATAATAATAATAATAATAATAATATTAATAATAATAATACAATAATAATAATAATAATAAGTAACAGCTACAGCAACGATAATATCAATTAGTCGCACGGAAAAAAAAACCTTTCGGGCGTATTTTTACTTTTACTAGCTCCGCCTCTTTGGCTTGTGAACGTTTTTCATGACTGACCGTACCAAAATCAATGGTATAAATAAATAAATAACGAGGAAAATATACTAATCGACGATACGAAAACGAACACTATTTTTTCCTCGGTTAATTCGCCCGAGAGAACCGCGATATTAATATTAGTAGTAGAGCTTCGTTCAGGCAAATTAGGTGAAGTCAGCAGAGATACTTGAATTTAAGTAGTACTTGAAATAATTTAATTTCCACGGCTCGAAATGAAGCTAATCACAAGTAGCTAAGTTACACTTCCGTTTCACAGAGGAAAGTAACATTGGAATTTTATTACGTTGCTGATCAATCGCAAAATTTTTTATGCTTTTAATCTGATTGTTATAAGCTTCGTCTCGTCAGCTATCTCGTATTGAAATATAATTCTTCAACCATCAACGCGAAAATCACAGAACTTTGTATTATATTGCGAATCAATCATAAAATCATTTCTTTATTCAGTTTTGCAGTTATTACTGGTTATTATTGATCGCGGAAATTGGATGCAATGTATTATTTCACGTTGAAATGTAGTTTTTTTTTATTATCCATCGAGTAACAGGAAAATTAGAAATCCTTCAATTTCTATTGTATCGCCAATTGCAATATCATCTCTTCAATTTTAAAATTATTACTGGTCTCTTGCATGAAAATTGAATATAATTCATTGCTTCTTCACCAATTTCATTCTACATTAAAATATAGTTTTCTTTGACGATCAAGTAACATAAAAGATCGGAGAACCAACAAAAGTAGAATTATTATGCTATTTTCTTTCCTGTGATCTTCATTTAACCTCAAGTTGCTGGAGTTTAAGTAACTTAATTATCCTGAACGAGACTTGACTTGCTCATTTTTCGTTACAACGGAAACTTTATGTTGGAAATGTTTTTTTCTCGGTTCTTTTTTTCTTCTTTTCTTATTTTTCATTGAAAATCCCGATCGCGTTGTTACTTGGCTTAAACTCGCGAGGAACCAGTCCTGGCTCGAGTAGGTGAAAAACAACAATTCGTGGTGACAAAATCGACTAATCGTACGATACTAGGATATTGAAAAATACGTGTGTTCCCTCGTTAGACTGTGGATATTCATATTTTTATATTTTGAAAGCAACAGAAAAATTGGAAGATCTGCTTTGAATGTTGCGCGAATTCAAACATTTCCCCCCCCCCCCTCCCCCGTCATTTACCGCTAGATATCTCCGATATTTTTCCCTGAATATTTTAGATATTATTCTTTATCGTTTTTGCTTGATCATGCATCTCTGTGTTCTTATGTGAATTCTGCAAATTTCAGCATACTTAAATTTCTCGTAAATGCACGAATAGCCACAGTTTCACCAAGGTTCAATGAACGCAAATAAAGTATGATTGTCGGACGATTACGAACGATTGTAATTCGAGCACTCGTTCCTTTACCGCGAACGGTTACGAGCTGCGGCGCAATAATTCCCTTCTAGACTAGATGAATTATTTGAAAATCGCGCGTCGATGTTCAATCGTGGATCACGATACGAATGAAAATCGATGCTATTGAACATTTCAATTCGCACGAAAAGAGCGTGTTTTACGCAGAGAGCTCTACTATTAATTTCGAGCATTTTGCCACTTGCCGAAAGTTAACATTATCGTAAAGTTTCTTCTTTGTGTTGTGATACACGATCAAACTATGCAGTCTTGAACTGAAAACGCATCGAATTTTAAACGTTCAATCTCGCTGCTCGAGATTTCATGCTTCGTAATCGTTCCAACGTTCGCTGAACTCCAATTACGGTAGAACTCCCTTCACGTGAATTCCATTTATCGGGACGAAATTTTAATTAATACTCCGATCAAATGATCCCCTCGTTGGTTGAATATATTTGTAACGATAAATATGGACTGCAATTTCATATTCTAAAGATAACAAGTGTCTTGGCTATCGATAATGTTTTGTACGTTTCTACATAATTGCAATTCTCGTAAGTCTCTCGATAATAAATGCATGAAAATCCAACGCAGTCCAATAACACACTGAGTAATATGTAATTAAGAGAAGAACAATGTATAGAAAAGTAAAGCAGACTTCTGCTACAAGTGAAACAGAGCAGATCTCTATCATATAAACTATTTGTCCCTCAAGGAATTCACATAAACGAAATTCCACCGTGCACATTATTTCTACGATCGAAACAGAGGCTTGTTTCAACGATCTCTCGACGATCTTCGAGTCTTGGGGCCGCGGTTACGCGAGCGTCGATACGACGGACGTTAATTAATTGTTATTAATTGGCACGCACGTTCAATTTGCTTGTACATAAGAAACAATGTAACACATACGACGCACGTTGCAACTAAAATATATAACGATCGTCGTAACGTCTGTCATTCCAACGCTCGTGTAACACCCTCGACCGAGCCTTGAGCTCGAACGCAGCGCGCCTTCGAGGCGCGTGTTCCATTAAAAAAAAAAAAAAAAAAAATGTGTTCGTGTTAAAAACACAGCGGTACAGAAAGTGGACGTTGTTCGCGGAAGGTACAATCGTTTTTTTTTTTTCTTGGTTGGCTCGTCGGAAACGTCGAGTCCATCGGAAGGAAGGAAAGAAAGAAAGAAAGAAAGAAAGAAAGAAAGAAAGAAAGAAAAAAAGACAGAAGATGAACTTAAAAGCTAAATCTCTCTCGCGGAGCCAGAACGAAGGAGAAAGGAAGATTCTCCAATTCTGCTCGTTAATTATTCGACGAAACGAGCAGGATGATCCCCTCCTCGAAATGACTGATGCCGCTATTCCGTTATCCGAGTGGCGCGCGCCCGCGTTCGAGGAGGCGCAGCATCGTATCAATTAAAAGCAGAATTCGAAACAGACAATGCCCAGCAACGCTAATAGGAATTAAACAAGAATTAATACTAGCCTTGGCGCGCGCGCACGCGCGTGTAGCACGTTGCTACGAATTTCGAGGTACGCGAACCGAAAGCCGCTCAAGTGTCGAGAACGAAACGAAAACGGAGACTTGTGGGGGTTGGGTTAGCCTGCCGTTATAACAGATAACCTCCGTTGCATTTAACCTTGGATTCTCTCTCATGTAAATCTCGCTTGGTTCGATCGCTCGGTAGAACGGAGTAATGAATAAATAAATAAATAAATAAATAAATAAATAAATAAATAAAACGCAAAATTGCATGATGATCATGATGGTCAGCCTTGGTTTTGTTGGAGGGGATAGGAGGGAGAAAAACAAGGGGAATCGAATTAATCGATACTAATTGCAAGTTCGACACTTGAGCACTTCTTCGATTTGAACAAAGTTCTTCTTTTACCTTCTAACAATGTAAGTGGCGCAATAATTTAACGAATAGGACACAGTCTGTGCGTGACTGTGTGCAAACCTCTCGTCGTCACGTGTTAATTAATGCCTGGCAGAGTTTAGGCTAATCTGAAATTTTTCTGTTTGCCACGCGGTAACATTTTCGGCGGCTCTTTTAAATGAATAAATTAGCGAGCTCGGGGTTAGCTGACGCTATTATTATAATTAATAGAACTATATTAGCGTTTAACCCACTGAGAGCCAACGTTATCTTGTTTTGACATTAGAATTATCGGAGTGATTGAAATCGACCAATTTCAACGATTGGTAATCTTTCGTAGAATTTTCGCAGACCAACTGTGGTGCATTCATTTTTAGAGATTTGACTGATCTTTTTTTCTTTCACATTCCTCATTGCGTTATGAATCTTATCTTTTAGTTTTGTATTTCAATTGTTGGTAATCTCGGTGTCAACGCAATATTTCATTCCAAATTTTATTTTTTAATAAAATACACTACGAAAGGAAAGGATTTGCGGAATATTTTCTCATCGTTACGTTTATTCATTGTCGTTATTAACCAGTACTTTGTAATTTTATGAAATTGATTTTATTAATGATGAATTATCGCTTAATCCTTGATGAACGAGAATTGATGATACGACGTGTTTCGATAATTTTAATGAAAGGTGTTTTAGGTAGAAATTGTTGGAGTAAATTGTGTAGTAAAAGTTTAATTTTTATGAGTTTTAACGCCATGATCAATTCACGTATGTTAGACCAATCAAGAAAGAGGCACGTAAGAAATCTTAATAACAAACGAATCGCTACGACATGTTTACGAAATAGATTTTCGAGCCGCGTCTCGCCGTTTTCAAAGCGGAAGCGAGAGAAAGAGAAAAAGAAAAACTGTTTTCCGACAATGTCTTAATGCCTTAGCTGCCTGCCTGCTGTCGCTACTAATTGACTAGCATCGTTAATCACTCTCGGTTTGAACTCGTTCGCCTTTTCGCCATCGACTTTTTTGGTACGAATTCCCTCCTCTTTCATCCTCTCGCGCTATTTATCTCGCGACTCGTTTTCGCGAACCAAAGGAAACTGTGTCACGAGGCAATGATTACCGATATTTACTTATTAATACCTCACCGTCCGAAATTTACGAACACTCTGAATCACGTACGAAGATTATAAGGGAAAATCATGACAGGTCTAATCTAAATGTTAATTTTGTAACTTTTGCGTCACTTTTGGTGACTGAAAGGAATTGTGTTAAAATAAAGTTCGAGAATGCAAATTTTTTTGGAAATAAACAATGGCAGTTATTATGATAATTTAACTCGATTAACATTACACTACGCAAATGATATCGTTAATTCTTCTTCACTGTACGAGACAATGATAAATAGATTTAATCTGAAAATCAAATAGTTTCAATGGAAAACTTGATCGACAACGAGAATTTCTTCAGACTTGTTCTGCTTTTCGCTCCAGGTCCTCGTACGTTTGCGAAATTAAATGAGAAAATAACTGATCACGATTGAGAAACAAAAATAAATTGACAATTTTCCTGCGCGCGTGAGGAGTTGACTGATAATACGAATAAGAAAGAAGAGGAAAAGGGGATGTGTGGATTAACGAATGGAGCGGACTCGAGGGAACTCAAGTCGCGACGAAATCGACCCGACACACACTTTTATCGACGAGAAAGTGTCAATAAATATAAGCATCTTCGTATTAACTAGGAATATACGCGCGACGAACAACGCGAGAATAAGCAAATAAGTTAAGGAAAAAACGTGACAAAAAACACGCGCCTCTGAACAATCCGCGACACACCTAGCCGAACAAAACGTAACCACCTTACAAACTATACGCAATTTTTACCTATTACAAATGGACCTTTATAGAATGAACACATCTGCTTTATATGAAGAACTCGTGAAAATTCTGACAATTTTTTCCTTCAAATTATTTTAACTTTCTTTCGAAACGAAAATTTTCTGTCTCATTCGCTCTCACTCATCGAAAATTCCTCTCGGACGAGAATGTTCGTTCTCCAAGATCGACGACGATCTTTATGCTAACAAATTACAATACGCAACAGAGATGCGAAAAGGTTGACAAAGATCGAGACAGTTGCTCCAAGAGTTTTACGCAAACCTCTGGGACAACTTTCTCCTCGAGCAAATTTTCCAAAGAAAATCGTGTTGCACATCGCGAAACATGGAATTTAAAACACTAGATACATATTCGTTCCTTCTTTGTCTCTCTCCTCTTTCGTTCTTTCGTTTCACATCAGCAGCCACACAATCTCGCGATTATCAGACTAGACCACGCAGTCAACCGAGATTCCTGTCGGTTCAACGCGCTTAACATTATATTCCCGTATTCGTTTCTCGCGCACACGCACACTTACATACTCGCTCGTACTCACGATGGGGATGCCCGTCGGTTTGATTATGTACAGAATTATTTACAATGGTATACAGGTTGGAGCGCGGATCGATCGCTCGTTCGGCCGCAAACAAGCTGGAGGAGATCCGCTTCGATCACATCTTGATCACGCCTTGTAGTGATAATTGTGGACGTCCGTTCAACTTTTTTTTTTTTTTTTTTTTTTTAAACGCATCTCGCGTGACAATTGCGACAATTACGTAAATGCCCTAAAGATAACCGAAAGGCGACGCTCGCTGTTTGAATTTCGCGCCTCGAGACGCGCGTGTTTCAAACGAATTCCAAGTACTTTGTTCCTTGATGTTGCTACATCGTTTCTTCGTTTCAAATTGTTGTTGTTCGTTTGTCGATTGATTCATCAAGGACATTTGTTTGTCAGGATTTTTTTTTTTTTTTTTTTTTTTTAGTAATAGTCGAGACGTTTAGGAACCTTACTTGATCAACTCTATAAATATACGAAACGTGACAATTACAAATATTATACACTTTTTTCGAAATATACCTTACAATGTGTGACAAATATAATTCGCGAGAGTAAGTCGTGGTGAACACATTTCTCAAAAATGGAACGAAAGATGAAAAGGAAGATCGACTTCAGGCATTCGATATAAAGAATTGATAATACAGTTAGAAAAATTAATGAAAAATTAATGAAAAATTCGAAATTGATCAGTACGACTTCTAATACTCTCAACAATCCTCGCCCATTTAATTACTAATTTGTCCAATTCTTTCACTCATAAATGAACAGTCATTAATGCTGCTCCATGCTCGTCGGATTAATGCTTCGCGAACGAACGCAGGCGAGACAAAACGAAACCGTTCTCCTTTCTCGAGTATTTTCTTAGCGACCCGAGGCAAATTATCACGATCCCTGGTTAGAAGAGAATTACCAGTAGAAGACGTTCGATCCTTTAATCTTCTCGTTTTTCTTTCATTCTTTCTTTCTTTTTCTTTCTCTCTATTTGCACGACGATCCTTCCCGGCGTCTGTCGCCAAGATCGATTCTCGAACAGCGACGAAAAGGCCATTCTTCTTTCGTTTTCCTTGTGACCAGAGAGACGATCGATCGTTTTCCCTCGGTTCTCTTGTATCTTGGACACCTTGTTTCCTTCGACATCGCCGAGGATTCACCCGGAACATCTTTCCGCCTCTATCTCCGTCGTTCTCCGCTTGTCGTCCGTCTTCGTTCTTCGAGGTGAAATTGAAAAGGACAAAGGGTGTTCTGGCCAGGATTCTTTGGTTTTCTTCGTTGCCACGAAAGCGGCCGATAAGCGAGAAAATAATCCGGAAAGAAGAATCGTGTCCCCTCCTATGCATCTCTCTCTCTCTCTCTCTCTCTCTCTCTCGTTCCACTTCCCTTCTGAAACGAATCCTCTAAACGAAGATTTTCCCCTTTTTTCTTCATCTCTTTTTCTCCAATTTCTTTTCACTTTTTCCTCTGCTCGTGAATCTCGTACTTCGATCGACATTTTGGGTCCCGTGCGAACGGATTCCCGGAGGTATCTCGAATCTTTGGTTTCTCGCGCGCGCACACACGCACACCGGGAAGTAGGGAAGGGAAGGGAAGGGATCGATCGCGCCATTAAAATTTCTCCACCTTTTTATTACCACCTTCTGGTTGATCCGTTTGCTCTTCATGGTAGGAATCCTTGATTCGGAGAAGACGCGTGGAGTCGACGCGAACCACGACGTATACGTGTGTGAGAAAGAAATTTTTGGCTCCGATATTTCGTTCCTATCGACTTTCGTTCTGTCTCGTTGAAATTTCGAATGTTGAATCTGTTTTAACGAGGGAGGCGGGAGTACAAAAGTAATTACCGAGTCGAAATCTATCTCTCCGAAGATGGAGAGATATCTTGTGAAAATTTATAATTAGCAAATCGGCGTGGAATTGGTTGTTTCTCGGTTTCTTGTTTCGTTTTTTCTCGTTTTCGTTCAGTCCAAGCTCGCAACATTCAACGAGTGTCGACATAATATGGCTCCAGGGGCCTATCCTCGTTTCCCTTTTGTTCTTTCAATTTGTACTGATAACTAAGTTCGATCAAAGTAGCTAAAATATTCATTCTTCGACTTCCTTTCGACTTTAATATACTTTTAAAAATCTCCTCTTACGCAAGTGCCAGTGATTAGAAAATTATTTCTCTCTCTCTCTCTCTCTCCCTCTTTTTTTTCCTCAACTTTTTTAATCATAGTCCCGTTCCCTAACGATTTGCTTCAACAGTTCATCCGAAAAGTCTGACGTCACGCTCATTTCGCGAATTCCATTCCGAAGGCAAACTCCCCGAGTCGAATTTATCGAAAAGAACGATTACCCATTCCTTTACGCGAACCTTCAGTTCCACGAACAACGAATCGTCCAACTTCTTCGTCGATTCGATTCGACAAACTTCACTTCGTCATACACTTCGAAAAACCGAGCTGCAATGTTCTTCGACTTTCGTTCATTTTTTTTTTTTTTTTAAATATCTTCCTCAGCAGTGAAACCGGAAACACAGAGGCTCCTTTCTGTCACAAGATCACTCCCCATCTTCCGTTTCCTCTTCTAATTTCGGCAAAATCTTTTCCTTCTTCTTCGAGGTTGGAGAACAGGTTTTCACCGTTCTCTCCATCACTCGGAACTTCTCCCTCCTCCGTTTCCTTGTTCACCGTGCTCTCTTCGTTAGTTCGACGTTGTTACGCAGTGGTATGTATTAGTCAGCTTCGCGTTACGAATTTCGCGGTTGGCCGTACGCGAAGCTGACCTCGCGTCATGGATAGTCCGGATGCATGAGATTGTACATGATCGCGAAGATGGTGCAGGCCGCGTAGACGCCAAGCGCCACCCACCAGAGGAGCTGCTCGTGGAGACGTTGCTCGAAGTTCTTCAGCACCAGCAAGCCGATCGTCAGACCGGCCAGCGCGCCGGTCAAATGCGCCACGTACGAGACCGGCGGGCCCATCTGCTCGGCCGCGTATCTGTCGTAGATCGCGAATCCCACGTCGGCGCTCGCTGAAAGTTCAAATTGTTTCGTCGTTAGATTCCCATTTATCTAGGTTAGGAATTAATATTAACATTAACATTGCGAATTCAAGTAAATCTCGTTAATAAATAAAATTCATTGAAAGTATATCCTAAAATTGAAGTAGATCTTATTAATAAAATTGGGAAAAGTAGATCAGGGATCATCGATACGACATTAGTATTAATATTAACATTGGGAATTCAAGTAAATCTCATTAATAAATAAAATTAATTAAAAGTATATCCTAAAATTGAAGTGCATCTTATTAATAAAATTGGGAAAAGTAGATCAGGGATACGACATTAATATTTATATTAACGTTGGGAATTCAAGTAAATCTCATTAATAAATAAAATTAATTAAAAGTATATCCTAAAATTGAAGTAGATCTTATTAATAAAATTGGGAAAGGTAGATCAGTTTTTTCGTATTCATCGATACGATAAATACGAAAAAACTATCACGAGGATTAAAAAAAAAAAAAAATTAAAAAAGTTTTATATTCTATTACATTTTTCGTCTGCATCTGGCACATGTTACAGTGGTAGAAACAATAGAATTAGAACAATCACGTGAAATCTTGCAAAGTGAAATAACACGAAACGTGACATTAGCTCATATCCGCAATTCCTCGTTGCAACTTCGCCGCTCGAAAGTGTTTCGCGTCTGAGAGTTGGGAAATCTTCCCGAGGTTAAGAGGATCGAGTGGAAAAAATACTTTAAAAACCGTAGTAATGTTAAAACAATGCCGTCAAAGCAGCGAAGCTCGTTTTATTCGCGTGTAAAGTGGACATTCTGTGCCCCCCACTGTGTCTTCGTTGTTCTTTGTTTTAGCAGAACAGGCAGGGAAAGAGGGAAGTCATATTAAATCTGTTGATCTTTTTTCAAACACAGTTTGTCTTGCAGCAACGGTGCGTAGAAGGGGTACAAAAGCTGCATAAAAGTTGTTCTGCACACAGCGGTGAATTAAAATGTGAACTTCAATGAAAAGCACACTTTTTGAAGTGTATTTTAGTCAAAGTTCTATTCTCGACGGGGAACGTTTATTCTCCGTGCCTTTGAAGACTCTGTCACACATAGACTATGAAAAATGTGTCGCTAAACGACCGTGTATTGTTAAACAAAATGCTGAAGCGTCGTTCGGATGATTTTAGAATTCAGTTTCCTTTGAATATGTTACTAGTTTACTGAATTATAACATTATATTATTACAAGTTTGACGTTGATCTTACAAAGTTTATCCGACGAGCTTCTATTTATCAAATTCTCGGTTCTGTTCCCGAATTATCAAAGAAGTTATTGAACTTTATGTCTTTGTAATTCCATTAGGATTACTGAAACACTGAAATTGTTTAAACACGTTTAAAGAACATTTCCCAACGTTTCTCGTTCTTCAAAAGCTTTAGGTTTTGCACGAGGAAATTCTGTTTTCACTTAAAAGAATTTCAGTATTGAGAAACAAGAAAGAAAAATTATACATTTCGTCGAAAATCTTACCAATTACGAAAATGCCAATTAATCGAACAATGCCGAACTCCATGTTATTGTAATTGAGGAGGACGTTGGCTAGATGAGCCGCGAGGAGGGCGTAAACGCCCCCGCTGGCGCCAACAAGGTACACATCTGTGTCGAACACCGAAGTACCCAGGGAACCTGCGAACATAAGAGAAAAATTCATTCTTCACTTCGAGTCAAATGACAGCAGATTACAGTAAAAACGTTAAAACACCTAGGTCACTCGTAATCTCAATAAATTTCTCAAAAGAACATCTCAAAAAATAACAGACAATTTGCACTTGTTTGTAACGTTAGCATCTTTTCCTAAAGTTTCAAAGCAACGAGTCGACAGAATTTGACAAAAAGGAGAGGGAATATCGAAGGCTGCGACGATGTTGTCGAATTTTTATGTTCCCAAAACATTCTTCGTAATTGTTTCACGTCGCACGTATGAGAAATTCAACAATTTCGCGGAACAAGAAGTTTGGCGTGCGCGCTTGTATACGTGTGTACTCGGTTGTACAATGGAAAGTTACACGCCGTGTAACAGAAGACCGTACGTCGTTTCACATGCGTGCGAAGCAACAGATGTTTCAGAGTAGAGTAGAAAGCCGAAGGAAGTGCCGACGGTGGAAAACTGTGCTGTAGACAGCCAACTTACCGAGGAGCAGTTTCGTCACGAAAATTCACGCGTGAGCAGGATGCTCACTCAGAATCATAATAATGATCGATAGCAGAGGATTTTTCGTTCGTTTTAACACGAGGAAGTTCGTTCAGGAGTGGAGAGAATGAGAAGGTTCTCAGAGGAGAAAGATAAATGACGAGAGTAAAAAATATTCCATCAACATTTTAATTTAATTGTAGTTATTGTCAGAAATTTGGAAATATGCGCACGGTGTAATGCAACATTCAATGTTTATCAATACTGGAAACATAAAAATGAAAGATAATGTTTCATAAACAAAAAACAAGTTGTTCTATATAAAAAAAAATCGATGCGCTTATTACATTAATAAAAAAGAAAAAAAAAAAAAAAGAAAAATCGAAGCACTCGCCGAAGAATCAAAGAGTTTATCTACGTGAAAAGTCTAGAAGTGAACGGATCATTCGTCGTTAATTTTATACTCCGCTATATACCGTCTTTCTAAAATTAGTAGTATATATCCGTGCTAGTCAGACGTCGCAAACACGTCACACGTCAGACCATCGGCTAGAAATTTCTCTCTCTTTATTTGTCTATTATTCCACTTGGGAAAAGCTTTTCTATCATCTCTAATCTGAAAAACAGCTCCAGATACTTTTATTTGTATAGGATATTCTTTGTACGTTAAAACTGAAGAGAATCGAGCAAAATAGAATTGAACTTGAATGAGTTTGACAATCTTTGACAATTCGTTTGACGACAATCAATTTTATTGCCACGAAGCAACTTTGAAATCGTGAAATTATTTGCCGAACCACTGCTTTCACCCTCGTGCACTATTCACAGTGTTAGTCAATTGTACAACTCTGTGTGTATGCGTGTGTATGGGTCTGAGAGAGAGTAGTAATTAGTGAGCGACCTGTATCGTTTTGGAAGCTCCATAGGGTAATGGTGCTCACCACCATAAACCTTGTAAACTATCTAACGTAGAGTTTCCTCCGGTTTGGAAATCGGATACGCGTTTCTGCCTTGGCAAGGAAACCTTCGCTCACGATATCAAACTGATTTCACCATCCATATTAACCGAGTTATTTATCTATCTAATGAATCGATCAACTTATAACCGAGTCTCAGCGAAATTGACAATTTACGAATAACACTGTGAAAGAATCGTTATTCGTCGGAGAGTTCGAATTGTGGGTAAAACTCTACTTTTGGAAAGGTAGTCCTCGCGTTCGTATTGAATTATCAGACAGTTTCTATCGTTGCGTGTAATCCCTCGTGGAATCGAAGAATTATGGGAAAGAGAAATTGCAGATTGTTGGAGGAATTTATACTCTCGAAATGTAAGTTCGAAAATGGAATTTATTTCATTTTTATAATTCAGTTAATTTATTTAAACAATCGAAACGACGGATATTGCCTTTGTCGTATTAAAATCGGGCTTTTGTCTTGTGGATTTCACTCCGTTAAAATCCCGGAATATTTCATTTTATATGAAACGATTCATTGTGAAAATATAATATCGCGTTTCAGTAAAAAGTCCATTTATTTATTTATTTATTTTTCTTTTACGATTTTAATGAACACTATACGTAACGATATAAATAAACAACTGATGTAACGTTTCAAACTAAAAATGATAAAACACGACGAATCTACCATTACGTTTCGTTAAATTATCCAATCAAACAAATTGTACACATTTTAGAAATAATTATTGTCACACGCTTGACAGAATATTTCTGTCTTCCCCCTTTCAAAGAATTATTTTTACTTAGGTCAAAGTGACAACAAGGACAGTAATAAAACGATCACACGATCATTAACTTTATCGTCAGAAATTCCTGTTACGTTTGAAACGGAAAAGAAACTCAAATGCTCCGTGTTGAAACGGACGAGGATAAACGAATATTAATCCTTAGTTGTTTATCACGGTATCAAAATTCAGGGCGGGCCGTTATCATTAATCAACACACAGTTAACACCGCTAATAATGATAAAATAGTAAATACGGCGGTAGTAACAACGGCTGGTTATAATTTACGGCTTGTTATCACGCTACATCTGAATATAGATAACTCTATTAAAATTAAGTTCCCGTAACAGGCACCGTGGTTGAGGTCCCGTGAGATGAGATGGCTAGAGTTTGTCCAACCACTATACGTCGGGATTACATCGACAATACACCAGCGTAAAAACTGCCTATACCTTGTGCACTTTTACTATACTTGAGATTTTAGTTTTGACTCCTCCGTGTGAATAAAACTCACGCCTCAAACCACGTGGCATTAATTTTACCCCCATCAATGTTCATCTCTAATTACATATCTTATAATTGCACAAATAATTATCAAGAATAATTTCATTTTACAGAATTTCATTTTATAAGGTTTCCATCAAGAATGATTTCACTTTACAGAATCACTTGCGCATCATGATATCTTCAGTTGATGATATTTTGTATATATTCGTATAAATAACGCATAAAGTATCGGAAAGCGTTTGAAAATAAAATTTCATTCCGTTTAATAAAGTTAATGGGCCGATGGCCGATGACCGCCAGTTTTATTTCTACGTGCTCGAAGGTATTATTATTAAGCGACTTTAATATTTCCTCGCCTTCTTGGTCTATCTTTTTTTCTTTTCGCAATAATAGTTCTTGAATCTGGAACATGTGCAACAGGTGCAAAGTATCAACGACGGGCGCCGCAACCAATAGCAAAAAGAAAGTATGAAGAGTGTAGGTACTTGAATCGCCCTATGGGGACTTTGTGCACACACACACATGCACACACATACGCGTGCAATGTCCACGATTTTATTATCGACTTCCCATCCAATAGAAAAATTGATAAACCTAACGGTTTGCTGAGTAAATCACAAAGACGCGTTAACATTACATCACATTACACCTATCAACGTGACAGCTAAATTAATGAAAAGAAATTCAAGATGTCATTTTCATCGATCACTTTTCCAAACGTCGTATTCAACTATGCTAACAATATAATATTACATCTTATTGAAACGAAAAAAAAAAAAAAAAATAACATGATCCTATTACTGAACGAATGGTACGAAGCATCATTTCCATTGGTAAATTTTCCCAAACATTTCAACTATAAGTGAATAGTTGAAACTAACTGGAATGATTGTCTTAATCGATGACAAAAACAACGAAATTAACAACACTGTTTAAAAAAGATATGCAGAGTGATAATTTTTCGAACAAAGGTATCGGACAAACACTGAGAGTGTTCTACAATCTATCAAACATTATATTCTTTCATTTGATCCTAAAGTACACTTCACGTTTCCATCCATTGCCCCTGTTAAATCCAACTTTCTAAGAAACGTAAGACATTTTCTTCCCCCTTGTCTCTTAAATTCCCTCTTGACCGTCGCTATCGTACGCGATATCGTACAAATTTCGACGCGAGTCAGTAACCGATACACGCAAATTAATACTACGACGAGAAATTCGAGAGAAACTAGCGAGTTCTTATTCCATCCGACTCGTTTTCACCCGGAGCACCAACGAATCCTATTACGATCCACAGAGGAGGAAACATTCGAAAATTTTCTTACGCGTTTCAAGGAGATCCTTCGGCTACGTCCGCGTTGAGAATGCCGTTATATCGATAGCGGACAGGGAGGGGAAAGAAATGTAGGAGGGGAACGGGACGGAATAAAGTGGAAAAGGACCTGCAAAGACAGCCGATGCGTTTCGTATTGCTCGGGACGAGAAAATAGAGCGCGCATTTAGAAGGCGAGTGCAGGCACGTCGATGCATTCGTAAAGAGAGACACGGAGGTAATGGAAGCCCGGGAAACTCGGCAACGATCCGAGAATCTGCACGCCCGATCCCGCCGCAGGAAACCATATATCTTAACCTCCAATGAAAATTCCACGAGGAACACTTCTAATTAAGCTTGGGGGAGGGAAGAAGAAAAAAAAATTTTTAATTCGCTTTTATTTAAGAGAATAGATATCGATTCTACAGCGATCGATCTCGCTCCCGCTTCTCTGCAACGATCGCGCCACTTCCAACCGAGATTTATTACGAGTCTATCGAGAACTCGTAAATAGACTGCGGACTTTGCATTTTTATGAATGAAAGTGGTGGAGCAGTTTATTTCTATTATCTTGTAGCAGTATAGCAGTATAGCATAGTTTATTTTTATTATTTTAAATATTTTCGTTATATTCAGTATATATCGCGTGTAAGTTTCAATATATTCTCGAGTGTTTATTAAACGTATGAAAATCAGAAGGAGAACTGCAAAGTTAAGAACCCATACATGTTAGAAGCCTCGTTACAGGTCGGAGGCATAAAAAAATATTATCATTTGAAAATTCTACGATTTCCTCGAGCTTCATAAAATTGCAGAATCTAGATGGAGAAAGAAATACCAAACGTAAAGTACATTAAAGAGATCTTTAATTATAATACACGCCTCTGTGATTACAACCGTGAGTTTAATGAACGTGAACTAATTAAAGACTAGTT